CTGGGGACTGAGTGTGTCAGTACAGCGACTGTTGCCATGGAGACCAAGATGGCGGATACGGGAGCTGGTTCGTCCTCCCCCTGCGCTCACAAGAAGACACGGAGCCCGGACCGGTGGCTGTCAACAGCATCAACTACTTCAGCAAGAGCGGGGGCAGGGCGGGAGCCTGATGTGGCCCAAGGGTTGGAGCTGGACTGAAACAAGGGAGAGGGGTTGGGCCTGGCCGGACCCAGACCTGCCCATTCAACCGCGACAGCAGAGGCAGAGCCCAGCCCCCCTGCACTGCCGGAGCGGTGTGGCAACGCCAGCGCCGCCACCCAGCTTGGGCAGGGTGTAAGGACTCGCAGTCCCGAGCCTGATTTGTGGGGGGCTGGGGGTGCAGCCAGCCCTGGGCCAGTTGCCGCCAGCAACGGCGGCAGCAGAGTAAGTGCAGGGACATGACCAGGCGAGTGCTGTCTGGGGCCGAGGCAGTGACTGACCGCGTCGAGAGAGAACCGAGGTCGCGCTGGGTCCGGGGTCGCAATGAGACCAGGGCGTGTTGGACCTAAGCAGCGCAGACTACAAATGCTTAACAGGGACCTGCACAAGCCGGTCGCGAGCAAAGAGAAGAGTGAGCACGACCCCCAAGCGGGGCACCACACGGAACTGGCATCGCGCTGGGACAGAGATGGCCCCTGCCACCTGCGACAGGGGGGGTCATACAACCAAGCCGGGGCTGCGTGGTAAAGCTGTAGAGACTGCAGTTGCTGAACTATCAAACTTTCATTGCCCCAGAAAACTGAAACTTAAACGTTTTTTTTATTTCCCTGTTTTCTCACCAGTTCCTATAACTTTGTTTGGGTTGTTGAAAGTTCTTAAATGCATCTACATAGGTTGTTATAATAATTTTGTTCTGATAACATGTTTAAAAAGTTCTTAAGCATCTCCATACTTTGTTAATTAATACATTCAAATATTGTTATCCCAAAAAGGTGTGCATAAGATCAACAAAAATACAAAAATAGCTGCCTAAGAGACTGAGTTAAAGCTAACTATAATTGTTCTAACCAATATAATTTGAGAAACAAGACTGCAAAACACTCTAAAAGAAATCTCATACACAACCATGAAACTGTCTACAATAGAAAGGATTGCACAAAGACCATCCCTAAACCTTCAACTTTGAAGTAAAAGACACTATAATATAAAATGACTTGCCGCTATTGCTTCAAAGTATTAACCAACTTTGACCAATCCTGGACATAACTACAGAAAAACTTGTCAGAGACTAAAATGGTTAATGATTTATGCATTCCAGGAGTTTGCAGGCTTTGACGTTTGCCCTAAAAAGGCAAGGAGATACATCAGATGGACAGTTGGGCCCATCCCTCCAGTGCTAAGCCCTAAAAAGGCAAGAAGATACCTCAGATGGGCTAAGTCCTAAAAAGGCAAGAAGATACCTCAGATGGACTAAGTCCTAAAAAGGCAAGAAGATACCTCAGATGGTCTAAGCCCTAAAAGGGCAAGAAGATACCTCAGATGGACTAAGCCCTAAAAAGGCAAGAAGATACCTCAGATGGACTAAGCCCTAAAAAGGCAAGAAGATACCTCAGATGGTCTAAGCCCTAAAAGGGCAAGAAGATACCTCAGATGGACTAAACCCTAAAAAGGCAAGAAGATACCTCAGATGGGCAGTGCTAAGCCCTAAAAAGGCAAACAACTCCTCATCCCAGGGAGGTGCAAAAGCATGCTGAGGGTATATAAACTGACTGGTGACTTTGGGATTTCGGGGTTCTCCTACCCCACCGCCTGCGAATCAAGACCATCGCTCTCAAGCATCGCTGGATCCAGTAAGAGACCATCGCTCTCAAGCATCGCTGGATCCAGTGGGCGGTGACTATATCCATTTCTTTTGCACTCTCAGTTTCTCTTTTCCCTTACTCTCACCCTGTTTTTCCTCTCCCCTAAACAGTTTCTCCCCCCCCAAAAGTTATCTCTATGTTGCATTGTTTTATGACAACACCCAAAACGCTAGCATACTTGTTGATACAAAATTGTTAAAATAAACCTTCTTTTCAGACACCGATTATTTAGTGTCGTTTCACTTTAATCCACCCCAAGGGAATTATTGATAAAAACCTGAGTTACCCCCCCGTTCCCCTTTTCCTGGGGCGGGTTGTAACAAAACTGCAGACTCACACCTGTTCCTGTCCATTTTCCATCAAAAACTGAATGAACTGTTATTAACGTTTACTAAGATTGTTTTTAAAGGTGAAGAACAACTACAAGAGATAAATGAACAAAACCCTGAAGACTGTCTGCATTCCAGACCCCCAGGCCAGCATGGAAGAGAGAATGTCAGCACTTCCCATGTGGTTTGACTCCATCGTGACCAGCAACACCTGACACCTCCTAAAATTCCTTGTTCAGCCTCTCCAAATACAACTTACAGACCTAGGAAGGATTGTCTAAAGACAGTGTGGACTGATGTCTTACAAAGGACACTGGATTTCAAGTTGTGTTAGCAGATGGTAATGGTAACTTGTTTATGTATCTTTGAATTCATTAGCTTTTGATTTTCTAAACAAGACTCACTCATAAAACAGGCTATTGTCAAGAGAGCACACTGCACACCAAATGTGTTTCAAAACAAAAAAAGGGGGGGAAGACATCAGGTAAGACATCATTTAGGTTTGTTAGACCTCATATTTCTCATATTAATTCCTTTTCAAAACAAGTACAATTGCCGGACATGACTACCAGAAATGACAGACTAAGAAGCATACAACCAATAATCACTTATAAATCACTTATAAATCTAAAATGTGTAGTTGAAATGTAAAAGCGTAATAAAAATTCTAAATATGCATGGGTGAAGAATGACTGAAGTGGCCACTTATGTATGAATGTGAAAGCTGAATAAATGAGAGAAACTGTGTGGACATGTATGTATGTAGACTTAGAAATATTTCGTGCTTCATGCAAATTGCACTTACATAACAAACACTACCTCAACCACCTTGTCCTAGCAGAGAAAAACAGCACTTATTCTCTAAAAGCCCTTTCCTTGAAATAAAGTTGAATTTCTCCTAGTTGCACAAAATCCCTCAGAAAAATAAAGTTGATGCTTCTACCAATTACATACAAACTCTTAAAAAAATAAAAGTTAAAGTTCCTATTAAATTAACTCCAAAAACCCTAGAAGAGAAGTCTTAAGTGAACCTACTTGTTGAAAGACCTGGATCTACAAAAGTAAAGTAGTGGGTTAAATTACTGTGTTATAATAGAGACTGTTAAAAAGGGTTTAAAAGGTTTAAAAATATACTATTCTACAAAATTGTAATGTTCTGTAACTTGTTATAATAAAGAGAGGGGAGATGTGGAATTCATATTACAGGAAGAATGCTGAAAAGCATTCTGGGACTTGTAGTTCTCTATGACTCTATCAGACATGCAGTGGAGTGCCTTGGTGTGATTGGTTGTAGATCACATGGTACAGTTTGAACATTGTATTTAAGCTGATGTTCTTTGTCATAAACTTAATTAAGTTATAGCACAAATGTGTGCAAACTGGGTTCATGCCCATACAAGTGCTACACTTAAGCTACCATATTTACATTCAGTCACAAAAGTAATGTTAACATTTCCAGTTTAAATGAATGATTAATGTTAACTGTCTTCTGTTGCATTTTCAGATAATAGAAAATGTTAACATGATTTGATACTAGGAAGCAAAGTACAAGTGAACCTATGAAAAAAGGTATGCATTAAGCTGAAGGCACTCCAAATACCGGCAGTTATGTGCATGTTTTCTAAGAATTATTGACTGCGTTGGCCATCTGTAAACAGTTAGTTTAAAATTTACAGTCTCAGTAGGTCAGCACATTTTATTTTTCTGTTTGCAAAAGCTTCATGAATATTCTTCCAACACAGAGACAGAGGTAGGACAGAAGTATTTCCAGGCAGGATGTGTTTGTTCACAAGAGAGAACTGTTACATTTTCTGAGATGTAACATTACTATATATTTTAAATACAAAAGAATTATTTGCCTCAACACAAATATAATATCATGCCTTTAATAAGCCTATTTTAATATAATTATCATCATACTACCTATAACACCCCCCTCCCAGTTACAGTTCAGCACAGAAAAGGTAGAACCATAGAAAAAGTGAGGATACTTGATTGGAAGTCTAGAATGTTTAGCAATCTCCTAATCCAATAAAATGCCTAAGCTCTGTAGCAGATGGATGGGCCGTGGGCGGTTTTGACCTTGATCAGCTACAGTTGTAACCTTGCAAAAGAGTAAACATCAAGGAGGGAGTGAGAAAAAGAAGAAAAACAGCTGCAGATAGAAGGATGTGTTTGAACACGAGAAGAGACGCCAACTACCTATCAGGAGGAGAGATAAGGCGGGTGAACAAAAGCAAGAAATCAATTAGAGATGAAATACAGGCGTGTGGACAGAGGAAAAGGGGATAAAAAGAACGAGTTTGTTTATAATAAAATCCTTGCCTGCCAACTTGCTGTCTGAGTGCATCTTTAGTCCGTTGCAAAGCCCCACTGAACTTTCTTCATGTCAGCAATCCCAACTGAAGCTAACAGGATCACTCATGCTGAAAGTTAAACCTGTGCCAAAATACATTGCTAGACCAGGACTTTTCATTTACTATTCTCAAAACACTCAGCAAACATTTATCTTCCCAAGAAACTGGGCCATGTTTGGCCATTAATTATAAAGCAGAACTCCTCATTAACCACTTAGAAATTAATGACATGAGATGAACTCTCATGGATATAATCTTTTAAAGCTTCAAAACTGCTTTATTGTGGAGTAAACTTAACCACAAAGAATTTAAGTGAACTGTTAGAGAAACAGTGAATCGATGTCTGAGTTCAGAGCAGAACCTGGACATACTTTAAAGCATGTGACTGTATTGAAAGAGAAGGTCATTACTACAGTGAATAATTGTTTTCTACTGTATAATTAAAAAGAAAAGTTCATGCAATTCTCTCTTACGTTGCAGACAGTCTCAAAAGTAGTGCAACCACATTTTGGGAAGCTGCTTATCCTCTTCCAAAAAAATGTATGTCTGTCCTAGTTAGAACAGCTGGGACCGATTCATCATTGGATGGGTGTAGCCCAAAACTGTGTATTCTATAGCCCTCCATGCCATTTCCCAGAAACTGTTGTCAGTAGAGGCCCCCCCCATGCTCCTGTCCTCATGCCCTTTTGTGGAATTCCCTGACTGAGCACCCTCACACCCTTTTATGGAATTCCCCACTCTGAGGGAAGGATTGAGCATCCTTTTATGGAATTCCCCGCTCTGGGGGAGGGGTTAAGCATTGCTGCCTGAGCTGGAGAATATATAAACCTGGAGTTTCAGAACCTTTCCTCCACTCGTGGGATCCAGAGGAGGACTGTAACTCACCGCTCTCAGCCAGACTGCAGCTCACCGCTCTCAGCCTGACTGAGACCACCACCCTCAACTGAACTGCAATCACCACTTTTGGCCGGACTGCAGTAGCTCTCCCACCAGCAGGTTTTTCCCCTCTCCCTTTGCTTTGGACTCAGGGGGGGCCCAGGGAGCACCGTTTTGTTTGTGCCCTGGGGTACTGGGTTCTACATTTGGGCTTTGTGGGTTAGGGCCGGTTGCTTGTCCGTGTGGTCGTGCTTATTGTATTATTTTATTAAATTGTTATTCTGATTTGTAATCTCTCTTTTAAGTTGGGTTGGTTTCCCCTGTTGGTTAACTTTTAAACCAGTACAATGTCACATTACTGAAACTTTTGTGAAGTTCATAAAGTACGTGCTGGATGTGGGGACTGGGATAGTCTGCTTTCTGTTACTATATAAATAGTGTAAAATGAGAAATACTTGAACTGTGCTGCAATAAAATCATAATCCTGGGTTTCTTGTGGTACAATATCTGTGAGATTCAGTCCATCTCTAGTCTGGGTAGTTCCATAAAGGCTGAGCCCAAGTAAACCCAGAAAAAGAAAAATAACCACAATCTGCAACAGAAAATGGAAACGCCTTTGGTTTTATGTTGTTAAAGAATTTAATAACTCATAATAGCACACAGAACCAGGTTCAAAATTAATCCCCAATACTATACTTTTAAGCTTTTATATCTTTATGCACACACACACTACAAGGCCAAACCAATTAGTGTTTTAGTGAACAGAAAATTTATATGGTGATGAAGTTAAAAAGTAAATTTGAAGTTACATTTAAAAAGTATGTCATTATAGCACTACCAAGATAAAACTTTTAAAGTGTGAAATTAGGTATAAAATATTAAGAATTGTAATTCCAAAATAATTCTATGTTTTGCTGATATTTAATACTACTGTCAGGATGATTTCCCTACTGGGCAAGGTAGAAGTCTGTTTTTGAAAAACAGGTTTTCTGATTACCTTAGCTTTTGGTTTTAGCAGGAATGGAGTATAATGCTTTTCTGAAAAAGATGAGAGTGTCCATTTAGTACAGGGTGGCTCGAGGCAATGCATACTGGAGTCTGAGAATTGGGAAAGCAAATCTCTTGTTGAGTTTGTGCTTTCTGGGCTCTGGCAGCTGATATTATCTTGTGTCACTGTCACGGGCTGCACAGATATTGCTGAGCAAGGCTCTGCTGTGGTGTAGTACACCTGTGCATGAGGATCGTATTCTGTGTGTAACTGCACTGTAGACTGCATCATCCCTGTTTTCCACATATGCTTGAGGTTCAATCTGAATCACTCTAGTGGTACACGGACTGCAAGAGAAGAGAAAAATATAGTGCATTTTGATAGGTATTTGTTTTAATCAGGATAGATAGGATAATCTGCTTCCATCAAAGACCGCTTCTACTACTGTAAAATGTTTATGTTAATTAAGTATAATATTTTGATGAGGATTTCCTTCTGCACTTGTAGGAAATATTTCTTGAACATGGTTTAAAGCATAGACCTCTGAGCCTGTTTCTGCACGTTCCTTGAGCCCAAGAAAAAAGGAACCAGCATTTGTCTGAAGACACTGGCATCCACTTACATTGCTCTATTAATTACACATACTAATCAGGTCAATAACCAGGTAGTTGCACACAGTCTGAATGCATGATATATGATTACATCTACATGACCATGCTGAGAATTAAACTATTTAGAAAATCAAAATGTAAATGCATGACATGCTGAATTCTTCTGTTTAGAACTATTAAAGTAACTGTTAAATAATATTTGGACCTTCTGGAAAAGATCTCAGACTTTTGGGAGACAGATTGAAACCATTTGCCATACACTGACTGCATATTTTAAAGTTGATGTAAACACATACGAGGATTAATTCCCAGGAAGGACAGGTAAAAAAATGTCATAAATAAGCTTCTTTCTGTAAATGAAAACAAATTGTTGATAGAAAATAGTATCAGAGATTTTTCACCAAGTGGAAAAATCCTACAAAAAGGAAGAAAATGTTGCCTACCTAAACAAACAAGCTCTTATTAACTGAATTTCTTCATATGTACATGGGCCCAAATTCTGATTCACATTTGGTCCAACTTCGGATGTAGGAATAAAGGGAAGGCCCGACAGCCCTGTACTTCTAAGAATCTGGGTTCCAAAATTCAAGCACATTAGATCATCCAGTGAAACTACAGCTGAATCAGAAACAGAAAGCAGGAGTCCTGACTTGTGATCAACTCCCTGTTCTAATGACTCCCTCAAAAGCAAATTTAGGAAAGCACTTTCTCTTTCTGACGTCAAAGTTAAAAAAGGTCAGACTGTGTCGGCTCTTACGTGGGTGCGAAAAGCTAAGAGGACACGGGTTTCTCTACATCCTGGTTATGACATGCCATGCATGTGAGAGTACACAAATAGAAATGTAGCTTATCCTCTTCATTGCAGGCAAAAGTAAAAACTAATGTAGAAAAGATGTTTTATCTCTAAGCGGTGGTTCTGATGATGACAGTAGCTTCCTCCTAGCCTACCCCTGATCTCACAGTATTAGGTAAGTATTAGGTAAGAGTGTGCATACTATCATTCTAAATTACTATTAGAGCCATAGCAGAAAGATTATCAGTCATTATCTTGCAATGGCACTGATCATTCTGAATTCCTCACAGTCCTATGAAAAAATGGGCTAAAGAGAAGTAATTTAATAGTTTTTACATTATTTTTATGCATTTAAGTTTCAAGGTATAAAAAGCAAAAAAAATTAGCACAGAGTGATTAAGTAAGGCTTCTGAGTACCCCAAGTTATTTACAGTCTTCCATAAGAGACCAGAATTAAGTCTTCCAAGGTTTACCAATACCAGCACTAGACACACTGCAGTATCCCATTAAATTCTAAAAATACAGATATTACCAAAGCATGGCTCTTTTACATGCTTCCAGAAAGTTGTCCTTCAATGGCTAAAATGGATGTACGTATGAATGTGTGTGTATAGCAAATGTAATTCAGCAATAAAACCATGACAGTAGCATACTGACCCTGTTGCTATCCTGCTGCAATGAACTCCCACTCCTGACAAGGTATAGTAGCACTGAGTGGTGATCACAAAAAAGATACACCTCATATATTGTAATTCTATCACACATTCTCACCTTGTAAAACAGCAGAATATATCCAGTCTCCTGTCTTCCCGACGATAAAGGTCCATACTCAGGGTAGCAGGAAAAATCAGTAAAACCATAGCAAAGTTGAATACCACCACAACTGCTGCCTAGAGATCAAACACAAGAGAAGTGAAGTAATTACTAAGCTCAATTTATGGCATTGGTTTTATAAAGGATAAAGACTCTTTTCAATTCTCACCCATTCATCTATTTATCATGTTTACTCATCAGATCCTTTCAAGTTTCTCCCTGAGGTGATAGGAGAAATAGAAACTGTACTCACAGTATCCCACAATGCCCAAATAAGGAACAATATAATCTTAGAGAAGTCCTTGAGAATTAGATAAGGGATGTACTCAAAAAACCAGGATGTAAACTAAGTTCTATGTACCCAAACAAGATAAAATAAAGAACAAACGTAACAGTTTTTGGTGGTGAAACACAATAACACTGTGCCTGCTCCAGAACTGAGGTAAAGATGACAAAGAAGACCTGGAAGGACCAAAGAAGGACTTCCAATAGGGGAGTGACTATGTAAAGCAAGCTAATGAATATGTATTAAGTAAGCAAGAATATCTAATTAATATGTAAACAGTATGTGTAATAAAAAGCCCTGTCCATCTGTCATTTGGCACATTCAATTAGAGGAGCTATCCTCTGAATGTCCAGCATGCTGAATAAAGAAGAATGTCCTTTATAACATCTACAAATTGGTGTTAAGAAGTTTGTTTCTGCCACTTTTTGGTATCAGAGGGAACTGGGAGATATATTTTACATTCTAGCTTCATTATGATAAGTCTACTGTAGTTAATTAATTTCTTTATTGTTAACTTTCCTATTATTTTAATATCTCTATATCTAGAGATGTGGTGGCACCAACATTTTTAAAGTGGAGAAAACAGTCATCAATAAATTACATTTTTATATGAGAGTCTGCCTTACTTAGAGTCTCACAGTACAAAACGATGGAAGCAGAAGCAAATCTGGAACTAGGACTGAAGTTCTCACATTTAAGGGATCTAAAGCAATTTAAGTACTACCATAACATTAAAGCACAGTATTAAATCAGTAGTGAAATAAAAGTTTAATTAAATTTTAATGAAACCGCTCTATTTAGTAAAACACTATGCATTTGATGTACTTTAAGTCTAGCAAAAAAGAGTAACATTTTGTGATTATCTGTTAAAACATCCTCCTTGTATTTAACTTGATTATTGAGCCAGTCAATTTGCTAAGTGATCATTATTTAAAGAAAAAGAACAATCCCTCCTTCAAACCATAACCCTTTACCACACAGAGATTTCCAAAGAATCTCTACGAACATATGTGCTGCTGCATATATCATTATTGTTAATGGTATTTATTTGCAATAAAACATAGCAAAAACTCGAGCACAGATGGGTTTGGAAGATAGCAGTAGAAAAGTAGAGGTAAGGAGAAGTCACTGAGGGTTGGTTTTCTTCCTCCCAAAAAATGGAAAAAAATAGTAGAGCCATTAAGAAAAAAAAAAAGGAAACCCATATATTTTACTCATTATATAATCAATAGGCATCTCTATATTAGCCCAGTTTCAGACTGAAGAGAGCATAAATTATCAAGTGCCTCCATCTGTAAACTTCTGAAATAAACACTGTTTGGGTTCAAACAGTCAAAAAAGGACTTAACTTTGATTACACCTGATGTAAATGAGCCCTCTTTTTTCTAACACAGATCAATGGCTGCTTTTGATGGTGAAAATCAGCCCTTAAAATTGGCAACTCAAAAGTTGAGACATCCAAAGTTCATGTTTTAAAAATGCTCAACTTATGCGACCCTAAATAATGCAATTTTGTATTTTTCTGTCTCTATTTGTGAAAATCTGTGATGAGTTGACCTTGGCAGGATGCCAACTGCCTATCAAAGCTGTTTTATCATTCCCTCTCCTCAGTTGGACAGGGGAGATAAAATATAACAAAAGGCTCATGGGGTTGAGATAAGGACAGGGAGAGATCGCTCACCAATTACTGTCATGGGCAAAACAGACTTGACTTGGGGAAATTAGTTTCATTTATTACTGATCAAATCAGAGTAGGATAATGAGAAATAAAATGAAATCTTTAAACACCTTCCCTCCCTCCCCTCTTCTTCCTGGGCTTAACGTTATTCTGAATTCTCTACCTCCTCCAGCCTTAGTGGAACAGGGGGACTGGGAGCGGGGGGTTACCATGAGTTCATCACATGTTGTCTCTGCCACTCCTTCCTCCTCAGGGGAAGGACTCTTCACACTCTTCCCCTGCTCCAGCGTGGGGTCCCCCCCATGTGACACAGTCCTAGATTAACTTCTCACAGAATCACAGAATATGCTGAGTTAGAAGGGACCCACAAGGATCGAGTCCAACTCTTAGCCCTGCACAGGACCAACCCCAAGAGTCACACCATGTGCCTGAGAGTATCATCCAAATGCTTCTTGAACTCTGTCAGGTTTGGTGCTGTGAACACTTCCCTGGGGAGCCTGTTCCAGTACCCAGCTAACGATGGAGGGGCATGGACAGAATGCTCACAGACCATTATAGTTGGCAAAATGTTGGTTTTATTAGAAGAAGGACAGTTTATATAGTACTCATTACGCTTAGTTCTTGTTCACGCTACATTGGATACATAAGGAAAGCATACTTTGCTGTCCACTGCTAATTGGATCACAACAGGTGGTCATAGGAGATGAGAAAACTTTATTCACCTGCCAAAACTCCTCCTTGGCATCTGGAAGAATCCACCTTTGTTCTAACTTTAGCTCCTGTAGCCATTTTAACTAACTGATCACACCCAAACTGTGCTAAAGCAATACACACAGAAATGCAAGGGAAATCGTTCACACAATTTCTGTCCTCCGACACCCAACCACCCTCCGGGTAAAGAACCTCCTTCTAATATCCAACCTAAATCTCCCCTGACACAACTTCAGGCCATTCCCCCAGGTCCTGTCACTGGTCACCACAGAGAAGAGATCAGTGCCTGCCCCTCCACTTCCCCTCACAAGGAAGTTGTTAGACTGTGATGAGGTCTCCCTTCAGTCTGCTCCAGGCTGAACAGACCAAGTGACCTCAGCTGCTCCTCATATGGCTTCTCCTCAAGGCCCTTCACCATCTTCGTTGCCCTCCTTTGGATGCTCTCTAATAGTTCAATATCTTTCTTATATTGTGGTGCCCAAAACTGCACACAATATTCAAGGTGAGGCCTCCTCAGTGCAGAGTGGGACAATCACTTTCCTTGACCAGCTGGCGATGCTGTGCTTAATGAACCCCAGGACACAGTTGGCCCTCCTGGCTGCCAGGGCATTGCTGACTCATATTCAACTTTCCATCGACCAGGACTCCCAGGTGCCTTTCCATGGCACTGCTTTCCAGCATCTCATTCCCCAGTCTGTCTGTACATCCAGGGTTGCCCCATCCCAGGTGCAGAGTCCAGCACTTCATCTTGTTGAACTTCATATGGTTGGTGATTGCCCAGTCCTCTAATTTGTCGAGGAAAGCAAAGTCCCACTACTGGAAAAGCTGGGAACCAATCCCCACACCTCCCACATCCCAAGCAGGTGCTCTGACGCTGGAATCACCCTCCCCCTGTCCAAATTTTCCTTTTCACTGAGGATGGGATCCAAACCTCCACCTGCTGAGCACGAGGGATTCAACCGGCCACCGCCTTAACCACCCTGTAGCAATGTGAGTCCTTCCCACAGGTTAACCTTCTTCACAAACTGCTCCAGTGTGGGTCCCCCATGGGGTCACAATTCCTGCCAGAAAACTTGCTCCAGTGTAGGCTCCTCTCTCCCCAGGTCCACAGGTCCTGCCAGGAGCCTGCTCCAGCGTGAGCTTCCCACAGAGTCACAGTCTACTTCAGGCATTCACCTGCTCCGGTGTGGAGTCCTCCACAGGCTGCAAGTGGGTCTCTGCTCCACCGTTAACCTCCATGGGCTGCAGGGGCACATCTGCTTCATCATGGGCTGCACCACGGGCTGCACAGGAATCTCAGCTTTGGTGGCAGGAGCACCGCCTGCCCCTCCTTCTCTCCTGACCTAGGTGTCTGCAGGTGTTCCTCTCACATATATTCTCACTCATCTCTTCTCTGGTTGCAGTTGCTCCTGCACAATAACTTTTCCCCTTTTTAAATATGTTATCACAGAGGTGTTACCACCATCACTGATTGGCTCGGCCTTGGCCAGTGACAGGTCTGTCCTGGAACCAGCTGTCATTGGTTCTATCTGACATAGGGCAAGCTTCTAGCAGCTTCTCTAAGAAGCCAGCCCTATAGCCTTCCCCACTACCAAAACCTCGCCACACAAACCCAATACAAAATCATAGTAACCTACTGAGTTTGATGAGTGGTTTTTACTGATATTTCTCTTTTGCTGTCTCCAGCCTGCTTAAAGTAAGACTTTGGTCCTGCTGATTGACTGAAGACATAACTACTAAAATCATAGAATCATAAAGTTTGTAAAAGACCATATTGGTAGATTGTTTTGTATTAGAGTTTATGCTTGTGCTTGCTTTATAGTATCATTAGATTGCTTTAACTACGTTTTTGCAGCTAGGCACTATCACCAACAACCTATGAACCTGATATGGTTTGAAGATGGCTCCCTGCCAAGTCTCCAAACCTTACCACCAGAAGTCCGTCCCCCCCCCAAAACCTCAGGGAGAAGAGGGAGAAAAACAACCAACTAAGAAAACCCGAAACGAGAGAGACAGTTAAAGTGATATATATAAATATATTTACACTTATGTTACAATTGAAATATATACAATTTAAAATATATACAATTTCACAAGGGAAGGGGAAGGGAGAAGGGAAAAGGAACAAAACCAAAATTATATATATATATATGTATATCCCAATCAGTAGCCCGAGATCTAGTAACTAAAGAGTTAGCAAAGAAAATATCTCACCACTCTCCTTGGGACAACCGAGAGTCGCTCCGGGACAATCGCCGGCAACCTCCGCCTCCCAAGGTCGACAAGGCCTTACCAGGCCTCGCTCCCCAACACGGCAGACTCAACAGCAGGGAACCTGCACCTCCAAGCCGCCGGAAGGAAAGAGAACGAAGGCCTCTCCTCCTTTCTTCTTATAATCTGGT